TAACGTTCAGTTGTTGCGTATTGCAGCTTTAAAGCTCTAAGCTGCTTGTGTCTGCACAGCCTCAGCATATCTGGAGAGATAGTGGCTTGTTAAAGGATTTTTCGTTAATAAGCTCCATTAGGCCATGTTCATAATGTTCACACAGAATTTTCTATTGTGCTCCAAAAAGCACTGACTGTTTTTTGCCACATGAAACAGCCAACAGTGCATATTGCTTCTGTTAAAGAAGGAAATAAGAACTTAGGTGATTCCTCCTCCATGTTTGCTGTCTGGTGAGACACAAACCTGAGCATCTTGATTATTGTGATTGACATATCACAATAATAATAAAGTGGTGGACGTCACTGAAATATGGTGAGCCGATCTGAAGATATTGACGGTGCAGAGGACTCAAAACACAAATAAAAAAGGGAGGAGAATAAGATTGCATGACTGAGAAAGAAAATGAAATCGGGCTCAATTTTGAGGCTGCACTTGACCATCAAAGCCTGCTGCTCAAACCTCTTGCGTTTTGAAAAAACTCTCAAAACACACAACAACACACCCACAGATAATCTGCCCCCCCCACCCCCGCCACCTCACTGCTGGGTGGAACAGCGTGAGTTAGTAACACTGTCAGTGTCTGGACAAATGGCCCGGACATCTCTGACATCAGCACCACATTCAGACTTGTGTGTGTGTGTGTGTGTGTGAGAGAAGACACCTCCTATTGTTTCACTCCCTCATTTCACATCTCTGCACACACACATTTAGCGCTGAATAAATATACATGCTGAACATCTATCTGACAGTTATTCAAAGCAGATAAAGTAGATTCTTAATTCACCGGCCATCAGTGAGGAGTGTGAGGTCACATCCACGGTGTGCAGACTGCACATGTGATAACTCAAAGAGTGTTCCTGGAAAGTAAAGAGGGCAACAGTTCAGACGGTAATACAGATAATTTGCTTACCGTGAAAGAGTGCTTGTCTGAGAATTACAGCCCACACTAAAAGCAGCCGCACAGCGAGGGAGGGTTGTGTAAGACGACAGCACCACAAAATACTAACGCTCTGAAAGAAATGAATTAAAGCCTTGCTTGCGTAAGCTGGAACAAACTCTAGGCTCTAGCCTATTCTTAGATGCTTACTTATTTCGATCTGACGTTAAAGCCTTTTTGAGTTCACTGAGCTGCTTCTGATTTAAAGGATACAAGATGAGTTTTGCTTCGTGTTTTTTTTAATTCATCACTTAAAAAACAATGAAATTAAGGTCACAGCACGATGTATGGTGTGTTAATGTAAGGCGAAATCATCATCAATCACTCTGCAGTTACACCTCCAAACCACTAGTAGGTGGTGGGGTTTCTGTGAAGTGCTGTAAAGTTTAGTTGATTCAAAACACACATTAAACACACATTAAACATGGCTTAATAGAGACCATTTCAAACACAAGTACACAAATCAGCTTCACTATAACTCGCAGCATTCACAGACAAATACTTGTCTTTATCTGGACACATTTTCCCCACAAATACAACATGCTAATGTTATTAGCACAAGCCTATGGCATTTTACATTGTATAAATTAGCCTAGCAGCTGGCATAGATCTCCTCTTCTCATATAAAACCTAAAACCTAAAAAACTTTTAACAAAGGTAATGGTACAAAATTCGGCTCCATTACAACTCACAAGATTCACATACAAAACAACTGTCTGTCTTATACTAAACATGATTTCCAAACAAATACAAATGTTAGTAGCACAAGCCTATGACATTTTACAAATTAGCCTAGCAGCTGGCAGAGATTTTTTTTTCTCATATGAAGCCAGGATAAATCACACACAAGACTTAAAATAAAAATTTTTTGTAGAGGCTTTATTGTCTTCACAATTTATTGTTTCTTATCTGTGAAATTAAAGTAAATAAAAGCTTACTTAAATTTCAGCTTACAAAAATTGACAGGAAGTCTGTGTCGCTGTGTACATTTCTGGGGATGGGCAAGTCAGACTAAATGTAACCACACGACACGTCGCTGCGACACAGGGGGTCTGCCCATTGGTCCGACAGCCCGTTGTTCCAACCATATTAAACCCATTGTTTTGAAGTCCTGTTGTTCTGAAATCATCATGATGCCCTGTGGTTAAGGTCTGGTTAGGTTTAGGCACAAAAACCACTTGGTTAGGGTCAGGAAAAGATCATGGTGTGCCTTAAAATGAAAAAGAAAGTGACAAACACATAAGCTGTGAGCCTGCTTCGCCTCAAGCCTTTCCCAGCTGACCCAGAGCCGGTCGCGGTGCACCATCTAGGTAGAAATACGCCCTCCAGGAGCTGTTCAGCACCGCTGAGAGCTCCCCACACAACCCCGACCCCAGAGTTAATAACAGGAGGTTATGGTGTTTCATTCTCTCCTCTCTATGACACTTGTATCTCGACCAGTAGCCTACTTTTGTTGCGTTGCTGATCCTCTATGGTACACAAATACAGTATAGCCTAGTATAATCACATATCGGAACAATGGGAGGTCGGACTAATGAGAGGTTGGAACAATGAGAGGTCGGAACAATGCTACGGCACCACGACACAGACCTCCTGTCTACTTTTCTAAGCTGAAGCCATTTCCCTCAGTGGAAATGAAGCTTTTATTTACTTTGATTTCACAGATATGAAACAATAAATTGTGAATACAGTAAAGCCTCCACAAAAATGGCATTTTAAGTCGTGTGTGATTTATCCTGGCTTCATATAAATCAGGATATCCCCTCATCGCTACGCTAATTTATATCATGTAAAATACCATAGGCTTGTACTAATAACGTTAGCATGTTGTATTTGTGGGGAAAATGTGTCCAGATAAAGACAAGTGTTTGTCTGTGAATGCTGCGAGTTATAGTGAAGCTGATTTGTGTACTTGTGTTTGAAACTCTCTCTATAAGCCATGTTTAATGTGAGTTCAATGTGAGTTTAATGTGTGTTTTGAATCAACTAAACTTTACAGCACTTCACAGAAACCTCCACCGCTGACTAGTGGTTTGGAGGTGTAACTGCAGAGTGACAGACACCACCGCACAAGTATAAATGCTCACAACAGTACAGGCTACGGTGCAGGGTCTGCCACACAAGTGTAAATCCCCCTCAAGTGTCCATAAACCCACTTAGAAATAATAATAATAAAAAAAATGCTTCAGAGCTTGCCAGATGTTTTTCTGTTTTCTTCAGTATCAAAGTAATCCATCGAGAGCTGTCTGTAAATCTGTGGGTATTTCTGTCACTATTCATGTGAACAACAGAGTGAAACACTACGAACGCCTTCCAAGAGAGACTGTCTGAAAATCTGCACCATTATCACAACATTTAAACAATATAATGCTGGATATAATCCACTGGAAGAAAGGACATTTAGATGTGAAACTTAATCCTGTAGTCTAGGATGGTGAACTCTCTGGTCAGCAGTTATTTTTCAAATACATCAACACTCCTTACTCTTGGTTCAGTGGCTTACTTTGAACGATTTTCAATTCTTCTTTACTGAAAAACATGGTCTTTACTTGTGCCCACACATCACAGAGACTTGAAAACAGTCCACCTCCAACATAAGCCACCTGTGGGGCTTGCTGTCAGCAACAGCTTTTAAGCTTGTTGTTCCCACTTCTACACAACAACCGTCTTTAATTGCAAACATCAAAACTGCTGCTTGAAGTCTGTGAAAGCAGAGTGTCATGTACTTGTGCATGTGGGTGATTTATTGCCTGATCTTTGAGACTGAGGGAGTGATGAGTGTTGACGACAGGCTTTCAGAGTGATGGCGTTCTACAGAGGGTGGCCTACTTAAGAGTATCAAAATATTTAATTCTATATTACGTATAAGTATCAAACATGAGATTCTGGGTGTTGAAGCAGTTTATAAATCAAAAGCAAGACAAGTGTGTGACAGAGTGATGTTTTTAAAAGGTATCTTTCCTATTACCAGCACTGAAAAACCCTAAAGAAGTTTAGTTTTAAAACATGAAACAAAGAGTCTGGTCACACCTGGTATTAACATGCATCTTGGGTGCTTAGACCACAAGTGGACAGCCATAATTACAAGTGTAAATGACCACTGAGATGCATTGTGATCCAATCACTCAAACCGCTTGCTGAGATGGTCTGAGACATATTTGACCATATAACTTTTGTAGCGTAAATGCTTAATGTGTCTTGATTTGTCCTCAACAAGGACCATGTCATCAATGCAGGACATGGGGGTTATATTGGTGATGGTGTGCTAACGCTATATAACTTGCCTCTTTTACGACGAGTTGGATGAAGTGTTAAGTGACCATCCATCGTTTGGCCTTATTGAAGGAGACATGTTAAATTCTGCTGGCAGAGAAATCTCCAGTTGTACCCACACAGACATAACGAGCAAGCAGCTAGCGAGACTGTGGGTGTAATAACTTTGCACAGAGCTCTCTGACCATGTTTTGTAAGTGAGGTAGGTGGTAACAAAATTGAACACAAGTGGTCAGCTGGAGACAGAGGTGTAAAGACAATGGGCCTGTCCCAATACCCACACTTCCCCTGGAAATACCCACTTCCACTTGGTTGTGCGCGTTCATGTTTAGGCTAGTGGTGTCCCAAAACAGAATTGAGGTAGTGGAAGTGGTTTCCAACACTTCCCCCCCCCCCCCCCCCTAGATTCCAAGGGAGACCCGACCCACACTTCCAACAACGTGGAAGATGAAATTTCCCAAACACCTTGCAAAGTCAGCGACTTCGGCAAGTTTTGGAAAAGATCAGAACTAGAAAACGTCGATTTGCATGAAGTGGTGTCTCATTTCTTAGGGAAAGATCTCTACCCTAATATTTCTCACTTCCCTCATCAAAGGTTATCTTGCAAACGAGGTCACTCAATACCAAGTGGAGGATTTAAGGGGTAGACATGGAATTGGGCCAATGTGTCTCGGCTGTCTACTTGAGTTCAGATCATCATATTGTCAATACCAGGCTCAAAGAAAAAATGCAAATTCCGATATATGAGAAGCAAATGTTTGTATTTTTAATAGTCAAATGACTTAAGATCTATAGAAAACATGATGGTATGAGTATAAAGGATGGAATGAGTGAAATATAGAAAAGTGCACATTTTCAGAAAATAAACCTCAGGAATGAAAGTTTTCTTTTAAACATCGTCAGTTTAAACAACATTTTACTGTACATAAGATCAAACAATAAGCAGTCCTTCATCAAGAACATAATAGTGAACTGAAGAGCTCAACATCCAAGTGGCTGCTTTTAGCAGTCGGAGACAGAACCCTGAACTATTACAAGAAGACTGCATGAATGTGTTTCAGTAACAGGTACACAGCAGAACCATTGATCATTTTGTCCAGCCTTACCTAGCTTTAGTGTACGATCACATTTTGTTCCTTTCCTTAAGTTTGTTCGAGGAAAGAGATAAAGTGCAGTAGGAGTCTAGTGAATGTGTAGTGGATGTTTTACAGCTGAATACAAAGTAAACTACAGAGGTGCTTGGCATCTGAATATCTGAACCATTATGAAAATGGAAAAAAAAAGTTGCTGAGAACAATGTGAGACATTTTTAATGCTCCCTTAGCAGCTCTGTTGATATCACTTTCAGAAAATAAGTCAGTGGTTCACTATGAGATAAAGAAGTTATTTCTGCTGTCAACACAACAGAGGTTTGAAAAATGAAAATAAACTTTAAGTGATGGAGCTTACTCAAATAAGTAAAAATAAACAAAAAATACAAATAATAACCAAACTCTAGCCCAGCCCAGATATTTCAATAAAAATTGCACATGAAAAATAAGAAAAAAGGCAGCATCTTATGTCTATGAAGTGAAAAGATATACAAATTTAGAGTGCTTATTATTTAATAGAATAAACGCAGTGACTGGAGGCATGTGATGGTAAATGTGGACAACACAGCATCTCTCGAAGAAAAAAAATCTACAAGACAAAAGTTGATTAAATCGTTTATCAGTTTTTTGAAAGAATAGTTCAGCATTTTGGGACATGTTTTTTTCAGAGTTAGATTTAATAAAGATCCCATGGATAACAGTGGTATTAATCTTCTCATTGAGCTCTGAGCAGAAAAAAGAAAAAGTGGGCTTTCCAAAATGTTGAACTATTCCTTTAACTGCCTGCTTGCCACGTAGCTGTATATTAGTAACGTGGCTCTACTTTAGTATTTAACTATTCAAATAAATGTTTCAGATTAAATAAGATAACTTAAAGGTTATGTTTTTACTTTAGAGCCATCGTAACATAGAACATATGTGTTGGGCTTAAAGCAGCTAAATGCTCCCTTCATTTTATTAAGATAGTGTTCAGCCAAAAATAGATGGTGTACAGTACTCTAAGTGGGTTAATTATTTAGTCATCTTGGGGCGCAGGCGTCTCTTAATGATCTGATGGTCACTTTCCTTCTCCTCTGGCTCTCTGCTGATGATCTATAACGAGACAAGAACAAATTGTTAAAGACGTGTGTGTATTTGTGTGTAACAGTACAGCGGCATGCCAAAGTTTGGGCACCCCTGGTCCAAATTTTGTTTACTGTGAGTTGATAAGTAAGTAGAAGACATGAAGTCTAAGATGACACATTTCTTTTACAGCTTCAAAACAACAAAAATGAAAAGGGCCTGAGGCACATGTTTGGGCACCCTGCCTGGTCAGTACTTAGTAGCATCCCCTTTGGCAAGTATCACAGCTTCTAAATGCCTTTTGTAACCAGCTAAGAGTCTTTCAGTTCTTGTTTGGGGGATTTTCTCCAATTCTTCTTGCTAAAGGCTTCCAGCTCTGTGAGATTCTTGGACCGTCTTCATGCACTGCTCTTTTGAGGTCTATCTACAGATTTTTAGTGATGTTTAGATCAGGAGACTGTGAGGGCCTCTGCAAAACCTTCAGCTTGCACCTCTTGAGATAGTCTATTGTGGATTTTGAGGTGTGTTCAGGATCAGTGCCCTGATGTAAAAGCCTCTTCTCTTTTTTTTTTTTTTATTTACAGATTTCAACTGAATCCATTCTTCTGTCTACCTGTAAAATGTTTGCTGTACCACTGGATGCAACACAATCACAAAGCATCATCGATCCACCCTCGTGTTTAACAGCTGGACAGGCGTTCCTTTTTTCTCCAAACACACCTTTGCTCACTGCACCCAAAACGTTCTGTTTTAACTTCATCAGACTACAGGACTTGTTTCCAAAAAGCACCAGACTTGTTCAGATATTCCTTCTGCAAACTTTCTACACTGAATTTTGTGGTGAAGACACAGAAGAGGTTTTTTTCTGATGACTGTGTCACAGTAGAACAGTGCACCACCACTCCCGAGTCTGATCAATCTTCCTGCAGGTCATACAGGGATTTCTATTTGCCTTTCTAACAATCCTTCAAGCAGCTCTCTTGGAAAGTTTTTCTGGTCTTCCAGACCTCAACGTGACTTCCACAGTTCCTGTTAACTGCCATTTCCTAATTACATTACAAGCTGAGGAAACAGCTACCTGAAAACACTTCAGTCTTCTTATAGTCGTCTCCTGCTTTGTGGGCATCAGTTATTTTAGTTTTCAGAGTGCAAGGCAGCTGTTTAGAGTAGCCCATGGCTGCTGATTGTTGGGACAGTGTTTCAGGAGTCAGAGTATTTATAAAGCTTTGAAATTTGCATCGCCTGGCCTTTCCTAACGATGACTGTGAACAAACCAGAGCCCTAAGAAGCTAATTAAGGTCCAAGACCCTGTAGAAGTTTTCTGAGAGGTCAAATGTCTTGGGGTGCCCAAACTTTTGCATGGTGCTCCTTTCTTTTTTCTCGCTCTAAAATTGTACAAAACAAACAACAACAACAACAAAAAAACTCTGCTTAAAATGTTGAGAAGCATGATTCATCTTTAACTCCATGCCTTTTGGAGATCAGTTCATCTTCAACTTCATTAGCTACTCACAGTAAACAAAATTTTGACCAAGGGTGCCCAAACATTTGCATGCCACTGTAAGCTTTAAGAGGCACAGACCCAATCTTTTATTGTGCTTTGAGAACTTAGTCACAATAATCACACAAGTTAGTTATAATTAGTATTGATTAATAAATGCATCTTTGTTTATTTTTGCACTTAGGTGACATAACTGTAAAAAGGTCAGTTCCAACTGATCTGATGTGATCTACATAAACAATGTAGAAAGCAACTAGCCTTTACTAAGATACAGATAATTACCATACAACACGTACTCTGAGAACCACTCAATACAGTGCAGCATGAGAAGAAGTCTGCTGCTATTCATTTTTTATGGCATGTCACTGAATCCCTTCTCAAGGCTCTGTGGGATAAGTGCCGTGGGATTTACAAGTGGTGCGAGAAAGAGATTTGGAGTTGAAAAATTGTAAACTTACACAAATGAGGGAAACATTTGCAGCTGCGTAGAGACACAGTATAACAAAAGTATGTCCCTTGCCCCAGATATTACTAATGCAAGCAAAAACTAAGTGCTACTTGGCACCAAGACTCATAAATAGTTGAAGAAAGTGCAAGTTGCTTAAGAAAAACCAAGCAACATTAACACACTCACAGAAAGTCTTAGTTGTAATAAACTGGGATGCAAATGGAATTTGTTTGTGCTGCTCAAAGCACTTAAAAGTTCTTTAGTCAAACAATTCCTTCAGTGGAATCAATGAAAACTGTCCAGAGTGAAGAACTACTACTGCTAAATGGCAAATATTTGGTTCAACTAACTCAGCTGTTATCTCAAAGCTGTTCCTGCTGCAGTATAAGTTGCTTTATGGCTCACTAGTTTCCCATCTTTAGTTGCAGGGAGTACATCATAGGTGACGAGCCTTGAAATGTTAAGGTCAGGTTGGACATGGACATGTTTTGCTACTTAGACTGTCCAGTAAGGCAGCTGAAAAAAGACTAGAGTAAATAAGTAAGTGCTCTGATATCTAAAACAAAAATCTGTTTCCTAATACCAAATACAAGCAATGAGGTATAAAGGATAGTTTTTATGTGATAACCTGTCAGGGTGACTCTTGATTGGGGTATAAAGCTTGGCATCCATTAAAATTCCATATCAATACTTTCATTGATACCCTATTTTGAAGAATACAACCATTCTTCTACAGTCTACAGATTAGCTGGGCAAAATCAGCATAAATGCCGTTGGAAGAATTAAATGAGGAGGCACCTTCTTTCAGGGTTGTTTGCAATTTGGAATACTTAAGAGCTTTCCATCTATCCTTCCCTCGACACACTATCCACTTACAACTACAATAAAGTCCTAAATGATATTGATGGCGACTTAAAGAGATGGGGTGTGCTCCCTATCTCGACTCAGCCTAGACTTTCACTAATTAGAATGAATGCATTGCCTCGTGTCAATTGTATTAGCTCAATGGTACCTTAAGTCCCACTGGATAAGCGCTGGAAGAAGTTGCATTCTGTTAACAGCACCTTTTTGTGGAACAAAACTCCAGAAATAAAGCTTCTACTTTGAAAAGAAAAATGACCAGGAGGCACTAACCTGCATAAGATTGAATGGTACTAATGCTAATTTGCTCTGTGTCTACTTAAATGTTGCTGAATCCGAAGACTTGTGTGTCATGGTGCCCCGCTGAAGAGCAATTACCGTATCCACATCACCTACCATATTTGATATATTCCAATATGCCCACTAAGAAAGTGAAACAGAACTTTGGGACAAATATATCATTCTTCCGCACCAACATTAAGTCCAGAAATTTTTACTTTTGAAAAATAGGAAGCCAATACTTTTTCCATAGTGGGGAGACAAGGGTGTTAATACTCTACAAGACATAATGGGGCGACACGGTCTACTTAAGTGTTATTACAGTTGTGGGCAGCAATGTGTGTTCATGGTGTCCCATGTGGCAATGATTTAGAAACTCACCCCCTAATTGACCCTTTGCTAAGTCCTACCCCTGAACTGGCCAATCGTGATGTAGCATTGGGCCAGCTCAGACCAGCGTCCAACAACAACAATAAAAAAAAACATAAAAAAAAACAGCTGTGCTCCATTGACTCCAATGCAATCGTTTCCGCTTTCCTTCATTTTCAGGCTGGTTTTTTCGATTTGGAGCTAAATGTTGTGCCTGGGGCACGTCGTGTATTAATGATACTCGTTATTTGGAGAGGTTGGAAAAACACATACGTTTCTTCCCTGTTCCAAAACCAAAATCAAACCCTGAAAAGTGTAGGGTTAGCTAGCTAGCTACTGAAGATATAGCCTACTGAATGTATACACATGCTGCTTTTGCTTTTCAATGATTTTAACAGAGAAAAAAAGACCAACCCTGCTGTACAGGAACCAGATATTGAACCAGCTGTGTGGCATCACAGTGTGTGCAGATGAACGGTGTTTGGCTTCACCCAGAGCTCTCTGCTCATCCGGCAACGGGGGTCCGGGTGCTGGCGTCGGCACGGGGGGGAAGCCTGCTCACCTGCACACACTGCGATGCCACACAGCTGGTTGAATATCAGCAAAGTTTCCCTTTATATTCATTGTCTTCTGTGGCGATCAGCAGTGATGTAGTGGTTCACTTTTACACTGTGATCTGTAGCCTATAGTTCGGCTTTAGCTTCTATCTATCTTTGTCTTTTTAACCTGTTGTTGCTGCTGAGTCAGTTTGACATCCTGGATATATCCTTCAAACACAGACTGTAGACCCCTCTGTCTGCTTCTCTCTAGAAGGCTTATATAAACCTTTGATATTAATATCTCGTCAGATATGGACTGGCAGGCTACATGGTCAAATATCTCCCCATCGTCCAGAAACCCAACCCATCAAATGATACATTAACTCACAGGTGTTATCTCACACCTCGAATATTACATCAAATGAAACAGAGCTGATCCATATTGTGACTGATGTCCAGGCATTACTGTTGGCACTTTTCTTCATCTGGTTTGGCAGTGCCCAGAGATTAATAGATTTTGGAAAATGTCTCAAGTATCATAACTAATTTTTTTATAGAGCCATCCCTTACTCACAGTGTCTGCTATTACTCAATGACAACTCCTCTTAGGCCCTAAGTACAAATGATGGGCACCTCTTGTTAGCTGGTCTCATAGCTGCCAAAAGAATAGTAGCCTGTCATTGGAAACCAGCACGTGCACTGTCAGTGAGGGAATGACTCTCTTTTTACCGGGACATTGCACAGCTGGAGGTTTTTACAGCACAATCACATTAAGCCAGCCACACAAAATAGTACCTGCTGGTAAAAGCTACTAAAGAAAGAAACTGTTTTACTATAAATATTTGTGGGTAACTGGCTTTTTTAGGTATGTTTTCATGTCTTTTGCCTGCTTGTTTACTCATTCAAAATATTATCCATGGTATATTTTGCATTGGTTGGTTTTTATATAAATATCTCTCCATCAGTTGGTACACATACATGTCTCAAAACTAAAATCAATATGTCCCGTGCTCTTACAACCTGATATTGTCAGAGCTGATTACAAGGGGGGGAGTTTAAGTCAAATTTAAAGGACTGAGAAAATGCACTATGGGTCATTGTGATTGCTCCTAACATTTTTACTGAAAATTATTCCTGTTTATGTATTTAAAGTGTTTTTTGTATGGTATTTTAACTGGATCTTGTGCTTGCTCATTTATGGTGTGTGACAGTTGTATTAGTCTGTTTGTGATTACTGTAATGATGTTTATGCTGCCCTCGTGGCCAGGTTGCTCTTGAAAAAAGACTTTTAATCTCAATGAGACTTTAACCTGGTTGAATGAAATGTGTGTGTTTGTGTACAACAACGACTCTTAGTGCTTATATAATGAGCTCCTGTATGACAGCACTTACTGGATGTGAGGGCATGTCCATGGGCGAGGAGATCTCAGGCCTGTAAAGTTTTCTTTTGTTCTTCTTGGCTCTTAGACTGAGGGATGAAGAGGAGGAAGACGAGGCTGCTGAGTCTGCATCAACCCGACCGCTCACCAGACTCATCATCTTCTTGGCTGCAGAGATGGAGACAATTTCAGAAGAACATGCTGAATAGAAACTTTAGACAGATTTAGATCTTTTAATTGATTGCTTAATTTTATGTTTAAAGGTTATCAACTGTGCTCGGTGTGTGAATTTGACTATGAATACATCATTTTAAGAGCAGACACATAGCATTAGTGTAATTACTGTAAAACCCGTCACTGAGTGGCCTGTCAGACAATACTTGTTAGCGGGATACCAGGGTTTTCCCTGGGTTTTTGGAGACCAAGGTGGCAAAGGCCTGTGGCGGGGGGCATCTTGACAGCTGTACTTTTAGATACGTTCCCCCCTCTATTAAATATGAAAGGAGGCCCCCACAAGCTTTACACTGCTGGCTTGTATAATCAGAACAGACATGTCCCGTGATTTTCAGCCTTGTATGATTATACTTACCCTTTACAGCAGGCACATCCTGACAGCTGAGAATATGACTGTCAGGTATTGTCCCCCCCTAAATGTGAAAGGAGGCTGAAAATCACAGGACATGTCTGTTCTGATGATACAAGTCAGAGGCGACGTCTTTCCACATACGGGCTTCCTTCGCCTTTCATATGGGGCAGAGCTCTGTGGGTAACAGTAGTAGAGACACAGCCCGAGTGGGAACCGGGATCTGACACAGCACCGGAGGGAGAAGCAGGTCCGTGGAGCTGTGCGCCAGACAAAAAAACAAGCATGTCGCAGCGAATGCGCGCCGCTACGGCGTTGCTTTGGGTTGTCAGCGCACATGATGCGCGTCTACATTAGAAAGTAATGGGTTTGTGTGTGCAAAAGACGCTACATCTGAACGCCCCTCATGCACACACACACACACACACACACACACGCTTTAATCAAGGCGGCGGCCAAAATCACCCAGGCGGCCCGCCTTTGTCTTAGGCAGAGAAAACCCTGGATACAGTTTGTCACCATGTCACTTTTATCCTTTAATCACTGACATACTTATCTTTAAAACATTGTAGCATCTGTAACACTGTCATGGTTTTAATTTACTGTTCAGGTGGAGGAAATAATCAAAGGAGCAGACTGCAAGGTATAGAAAGAAAAGGATGGGAGGAGGAGAAAGATCAGTGATAAAACGGATGGAGGAGGGAAAGGACGGAGAAAGAACAGTAGATGGTGAGAAGGAATGAGTGATGGAAGGAGGGAAAAGATTAGGAAAGAAAAGAGCGAGGTGTTGGAGGAAGCAAAATAATGAAGATAAAAGACGACGAGGGACAGGAGGGAACTGCAAGCGGCAGAGAGAGAGAGAGAGAGAGAGAGAGAGAGAGAGATGGAGGGAGGATCAGATGGCGGCAGACGAGCACCCTTGCGTCGGAACCCCGGGGCGACAATTAATTGACCGAGTGAAACTGCCGGTCCCCGAGGATAAAACTCAGAGATGACTCCGGTTGATTCCAATATGTTCCCTGTCTTAACTTTCTCCTCTAAGCCATCATTAGTGTCCCAAACTTGCTGCCCTTGCCTGGTTACTTTGTCTAACCTGTGTTATCCTTTGCCAAATAACTCCGGCAGGAACTCGGAGCTTTGTCCTTGTGTGTCCTACGTTGTTTTGCTGCACACAGGTTTTCAAATAGGAGATTTAAAAAAACTCTACAAATCCATCTGGGCCATGCGATTGCCTCCTGGACTCTATCAGTAAATGACTGGAAGTGAATGAATATAATGCATCACAAAGCAGAGGGGAAGATGCATTGTATATATATAAGCAAGCTTCGGTGTTTTTATGCATGTGTGTGTGTGGGAGGGTAGATTGGTTCTAGAAAGCCCCAAGCCAGTGACCTTGGTGTTCTTTTTGATCACACTTTGAATATTAAAGCTCATTTTAAATCTCACCAAAAATGATTCTTAGTATCTCAGTAATATTGCATCAGTAAAGCAATTTCTGGAAAGGGCAGATACTGATAGACTGATGCAGACTTTTATCATTAACAGGCTTGATTACTGCAGCGCTCACATTTTCTTCCAAGATGCCTTTAGATAATTTGCCGATCATTTAAAATGCAGCAGATCATACTCTCACCAACATTAGAAGAGCAGAATGCATTACACTTGTTTTAATCATTGCCTATTGGTTTCAAAACAGACTTTGACAAATCTCATGAGAAGACCAGAACCAACAATGTTCATCTGTCTCTCAATACTCTGACTTCCCAAAACAGTTCACAGATATATAACGTCATTTTCTTTAAAAGGCTACTATAGTTTTAAACAAACACTACTCAAACAGGAGGAAATAGTTAATTCGTGGGGGACTATTTCCAGTGGTGGATTAATATTTATTTGGTAAGTCTAGTGAGAATTTGTAGCAGTAGGATGGTGTATGTGGGACAATAGTCAAACTAAATTAGTGTGTGCTTTTATGGTAATGAGGGAACATGTCACACAGTGCAAGAGACCTGAGGAAGCAAGAGTTGATCAGCATTTTTAAATTTAAGTAACTTGGAGGGCCTTGTTTGGTCTGTACTCAACTCAGAATTTCGTCAGTCAAACTGGATTTGGTCGTTCAACATGAATATTCAACTATTCATTCCATTTTTCTCCATACAAAGTTTGAACAGGGTTCGGCAGGACAGTGCAAATCATGTAGTAAACAAATCAAGTTTGCTTTTCGAGCTAATGCGTGCTAACTATACTGATAACCTATCTGAAATGTGCAACCTTTTTTTTTGCCAACACCAGATATCGAACTCCAAGAGACTGTATCATATTAAGTTGTGTGAGCTGCAACTTCACCACTTCTATACAGAAGGTCTCTCTTTCTTTAGGCAGCTGCCTCCATCTCACGCCGGATTAACACTGGACGTGGAAGGGCTGCGAAGTGCAGCGATTTTCTGTGGAGGGTTGCAACGTCCTTTCAGTGCCAATGTTAAGCTACTCGGCTGTTCACACAAGATGCGTTGCTGCACTGAGCTCCAGGGCCGGCTCACTAGATGCAGCATGTCTGGTGTGAATGACCAAGCGACTGCTGACGCGATAACTGACATATTGAGGCGCTTCCATGTCCACTGTGAACATGACGTCACTCGGACTCACCCTGGGTCTGGGTCTGCAGCTGTCTGTACCGAAGAGCAGTGTGAAAGCAAGGAACGCGGAGATTGAAACAACACCAGAACTGAACTACACACTGACTGCCAAAAACAAACAAACACAAAAAAAATTCCAAAAATACATAAATACCCAAACAACTGCACGACTTGAAGGAATCTCAGTCTACTGAGGGGTCCCTCACAGATCATTTGAATTTCAGGGGGCAGCCCAAGCCTTTCTTGACTTCAAACGAGTTTAATTTTTATGTATTGCACTTTTAATCATTGAACCTACAAATTTAATTTACTGGATTTTAATTTCTTATGCAACATAATCTGTGGTTTTTGGAAAGTACTCTACAAATGAAGATCAATATATTTACATAATTTGTAAGGGGCATTCTACTTCGTTTGAGCCAATGATTTTTCTTTTTTTCTTTTATCTTTGCCACATTCTAATTAATTGAATAACAAGTGTGCTTACCCCTTCCTGCTCAGAAATGTCATCAGCTGATTAAAAAACCGGTATGTGATGTCACTTTGCTGCGTCATCATATTTAAGTTTGAAATAAAATATTCGCTCCTCACTCTCATAAATCTCCAGATAGAAGAAGCAGATAAAAGTTAAATGTCTCCCACAGTAAAGGATCACACACTGACACACTAACACACTAACCTTTACTGCCGAGCAGCGTGGGGGAGCTCTGCAGGAAGTCTCCGATCTTCTGCAGAGTTCCTTCCTTTCTGCTGTGGATGCTGCTCTGGGAGTTATGGCGACCCGCTGAGGAGGAGATCTGATCACAGACGACAGTGAACCGAGGTTACTCTACCAGCACGTACAGTGTAAAAAGCTGCGGGTGGCTTACAGTACAAACATACTGAAAAATGACTGGTCTAGTTTAAAATAAAAACTAAGATGGATGACAAACTTTACAACATCTATGAATTTTTAGAAAACCACTTCATGGGTCACAGTGGAGCAACTGTACTTAGTGTAATTGTGCACGCATACAGAAAGCAGAAGACATTTGCTGTGTGTTCTCCATAGTAATAGCAACTCCATATCTAAGCAATTAATCTAGCAAGTAAAATATTATAGTATAAATCACACTGACAGCCAAACCTACAAAGACAGAGGACCTTGTGCAAAATAAATGTGGCCTCCTGATGTAAGAATATGATGACTTCAACTTTGCGCTGTATGAGTAGGTTTTGCTACAATGACGCTTTAACTGTGAATTATTTATGTTAAGCAAGTATAGCATGTATCAGAGCACATCTTTATGGTTATGAATGTGTCTGCACGTCTGTAAGTGTGTGTGTTTCTGTCTGGTTGTCACCTCCTCCTGGTGTGGGGTCAGCTTTGGCGTCAGTTTGGTCCTTGTGTTCCTTCTGTTCTCTGCCTCCACCTCTTCCTATCAACACACACACGCACAAGGACATACACAATGAAGACACACAAACAAACCAAGTGTTGAAGCTCTGAGTGTGTACTGAGTCATCCGTACCAGAGGATTAGTAAGAGGCTGATGAGCAGAGAGGTTAGGAGGAGGCACACAGTTAAAAACAACCATGAAATGTTCCATAATGACAGGAGAGTTTGGACAAAATGGGGCAGGTCATTAATACGATGTAGACATCAGGAGAAAAACATTCTGACAATTTGCGCACCGGCCTCAGCGGTCGCTCAATTCCACTTTTACCACTTTTCCAGCTGGAATAATTCTCAGGGAGCGAAAACGAGCTCCAATTTAGGGTTATTTACCTGCCACAGGGGCTTGAAGAGTTGACAAGCTTAACTGCTACCAGTCAAAATATGTTGTCTGGGAGTCTCAGAAACACCCAATTAATCTTTAGTTTTTTACTTTCAAACAAGATTCCAATGTCAGTGACAAGCACCATTGTCAACCATGTGTGGAAAACCTTTCATTAAATCTAAACAAAGAAAACAAAAACGCGTGTCTGACGTCTGCTGCAGTTCCTAGTCAAAACAATCTTGGAGGGAAGCCTCTGGCTCTCAGGAAGAAAGTAAAGGAAAATCTTTAATGGTGTAAAATACTTCCTTTATCTCTTTTTATACCCCTGGCATGCCAAGGATAACCAGGTTGCAGGTGTTTTTCATTAAGTCAAGCATCTGACATTTTTCTCCCTGGTCTGCTGTCTGAGAGGTGATGAGTTGAATGACATGGCGTATGGGTAAATGGAGAATGATTGCATAAAAAATCTAAATTGGGACATTTACATTTTTCACCTTGACACTTTTTTTTTTTTTTTTTTTTAACAGAAACCTTCAGTCAGCCCTCAAAATCAGATTGTTTCTGATGTGTCAGTTTCCCATGTTTCTGGTCTTCTCTTATTTAAGTGATATTCCACCTTGGGCTGGGCCATGTGGACAAAAATTCCTATCCCGGTATTTACAGGCTGACTGGCGACACGATATATATACACGATATATATTTCTGTATTTTCTGCGAAATGGGCTATATGTTCAGTTGCAAGTCGAAGCCACATTTAAGATGTCATAAAGAAACTGTGATCAAAATAAAATGCGAAGACAGGGATTTATTTCCCTGTTTGAAAATATACAGCTGCACAACATGTAAATGAAAAATGATATAAATTAAAATAGCAGGGCTGTACATTAACATTTTTGCACACAGCACTGGAGCTACAGAGGGTTAAAGGTTTGCAGCACAGGACACAAAACTATAACATGACTATAAAAGTATCAAGTCGGCCTAAATCCAGTGCAGTTTGAAACAATTAAAAATCTTTATGAGGGGAGTTAAAAAGTGGTTTTCCATGGCCTTTCAAATTAATCTAGTGCTGTAGAATTATTTAAATATTTTTATTTATTTAGGCTATGAATCTTATTTATACATGTAGCATCAACAAAGAGGCTGAGGATCTGAAGGAGCAAGAGACACGTCTGTGGTGTCGCTGCATTTTTAAACAGATCTGTCTCCTGCATCCATGCGTGTTTCCATATTACACATTAGACCACAACTACCAAGAAGAACAGGGCCGCGCTACGATCCACCTCACACATAAACTAGCAGCAGAGCGCTGGATTGCACGTGTGCTGTGGTAATTTCATCACAATGACTGATTTAGCCTAGCACATGCAACAAACAGACTGATGTCACACTGTAGACACGTGAGTGAATGAGAGGGGCGGAGCTGCGGTGAGTGTGGCAGAGGAGGGACGAACAGTGGTGTGCGTATGTAACGCAACCTGACCCTGGATCGATATAAATCTTGTTGTGTAAATTTATATCTGTACACTTGCACAGTCGGCAATCAAAGACTAACTAAGATTTGAATTTTGCTTTGCAATGTGCAAAGTATCAGTGTAGGATGTTGTTTCACTGATGACTGAACCTTTTTATGGCAACCAGCCTCTTTTCAGAACGTCTACTGAGGTTTCATTTCAGGCATCCAGTAGACAGAGTAAAAATGATTCAAACGTTGCATGTCATGTTCTGGATGTTGTTTTAGGGCCAAATCAAATTGGATCAATTAAATTTTCTTCCATTCCTCAAGTTACACAAAATAGCTCTCGCTGTCCAAGTAAAGATTTACCAGGAAACTTTCCAAAAAACCTTTACACTCCTACTTATTTTGCTACTGGCATGACTAACTGTCTCACTATTTCTTGACTCAATACTCAAATGAGTGTGGTTAAATCTCTGGTGTCGTCTTGCCTTTCTTACGGCCTGTTTCCACCAGATGCGTGTTGGTTGCGTCTCCGCTCGGCACGGCAGCGGAGCCGATAGGATTAAATTCTAGTCAATGTGTGCATTTCCACCAGCTGCGGCTGTGCTGCGTTCCGGCTCCGTCACAGCTCCGGCAGCCCGGAGCCTTCCCCAACAGATACGCAGGACTTCTATTTTTGCCGGACGCCGGAGCACAACGCAGCAATTCAGCACAGAGTAGATCGTGCGGGGCAGTAAGTCGTGCACAGAAACACGATAAAACATCCTGTTAATTTTCAAAACAAAATACACAGTGTTCACGCGGATCATATTTCCCTGCACTACACCTTGAAAACTACATAATGGGCGGAGACAGGCCTGAAGTCAACAGGTCAGAGGTTTTCAGACGTCATTTCACCCCGTTGACACCATGGACGAGGAGATATTAATCATGGCAGTGCACCGAGATGTCTTCCCGGTGGAGCTGCACCGCTCCGTACAGCAAACACAGCCAGTGGGTATTGACGGACGGCGGAGCACGCAGCGGATAACCAGCGCTGCCATTCCGCAACGGACACGCATCCAGTGGAAATCTAGCGTTAGGCTTCCAGTTACTCATGTTTTCTCATTGATTCGTGGGTCTGATCACTTTAATAACCACATCTAGAATCAAGATGTTATTTTTGCTGTTCACTGACCATTTAACCTTTAATTTATCCCTAGGGGCACCCGGGGGTAAAACACCCACCAACATTGGGACCTGGGTTAATTTTTCCTCAGCAGTGCTCCCAGCTTTCTGTGGTCAAACAAACATAATTGTCATTGTTTCAAGGTCGGGAAGCCAGTGAGGGATGGCTCTATATCTTACACAGACTAACAGTGGGAGTCAGCAGTAACTAAGCCCACAGGGGAACCGGCCACCCCAAGGTGGGAGGAAAAAGAGTGTAAAAAAAAAAAAAAAAAAAAAAAAAAAAAAATTCCATAATTCAAAACACTCACACACAGACACAGAAAAACTTAATAAACCAACAGAGTCAGAAATGTGATGCATTTGTACAGTCCTGCATCCCTAAACAAATCCCTTGACATATTTTGCTACTCCAGCAAATGAAGCGATTCTGACTCACGACTAGCCGGTGGGGACGAGGCCTACCTGAGAGGGTGGCTCACCAATCGTGGTGGACGGTGTAAACACGCTCCACTTTGAAGAGCAGAAAAAGGAGTCATCAGTGACTCAGTAGATGCTTTTAAAAATAATCTGAGGAAGGAAGGAAAGAAGACAGGAATGGAGAAAGAAAAGTGTGGAAGTAGAGATTGGTAGAGAGAAAAGAAATGTGAAGAAAGTACACAATGGAGCTGAAGCGTATGCGTGCGTGTGTGAGAGAGAGAGAGAGAGAGAAAGAAGTGGAGAGATACCGATGAGTAGTGATAAGTGATAGCGATAAACCATAATTGGAGTGTGTGGAGAAAGTAAACAAGATAATATGTGCGTGTGTGTGCGTGAGAGACAGATGAGATGAGATGATAGAGGGAGCATGTGGGGAAAGTAAATGAGACATGAGATAATGTGAATCAAGGCTGGGGATGAAGAAAGATGCAGAGCAAATAGTGAGCGGCAGGGATGTGCTGCGAGTAGAAGGTTTCTTGCTAATATTCCAACAACTGACATGCACACTGGATTCAGGTCCACCACAACTGCCCCTTACCACAGTGTGAGCATTCTGCACTCTGTCATTAGCATTAGCAAAGAGAACTGTACAAAATGTTTAGGTAGCAGTGCTGGGGGGTTTTTGTCAGTTAAAATGACAATCGTTGCCGGGGGGAGATCATATCAGCTGTCGCTAATTAATGTTAATTCCATGAGTAAGTTGATAACAGGCCAAATTATACTTGTCTGTTGTCTGGTTAAAGTGCTCTCTACAAGCTGCTGTCTGCACTCTCAGATCTTTCATTCACATCATGTTAATCATTAAAGCTTATAAACCTTACACTTTTGACCCCAGTGTCTACAACTGTTATTTCAATGTGTCAGACACATGCTTCAGCATGTACGTGAAGTACTGGATTGGACTAAGCATCAGCAGATATCTAATATTAAAGCAACATTATGCAACTTTATTTTTAACCTTAAGATAACAGCTTCAAAGACTGAGAAGGACAGGTATGGACATCATGACAGACGCGAAGAGAACTTTGATGGAGGAAGTAAGTAAGAGGAAAAAAAGAGAGTGACCGAGCAAGAGGGCAGACAAGAGTAAACTAACAAACTATTATAGGGTTGCAAATTGTTTATACTGTCCCAGTGTAAGCTGTAGCAATCTGCTTCATGAAATGACAATCTGACAGTAGTGCACATCCCTGCCAATGTTACTTATGAAAGAAAGCGTAACCTTATTGGTGTCATCCCTGTCTTGTGAGGTTTTGAAGGTGTTCCAGATATCAAAAGTCACATTTAAACGCTTAGCGCACTATGTATTAGGTTTTAGCAGCATCATGGTATTACAGGTGCTCATCTTTCTATTTACCCCATACTGGAGAGGTTGTCTTCATAGTGCACATCATGCGACACTAAAGGTCAGTCTGGTGGAACAGGCAGCTGAGCAACTGCGAGTGGTGGGGACAATATTGCAAGTCTAAATAGCTGGCCAGTGCTGTGTCCACAACATCAGACAGAGAGCAAACATTTTTATTTTAGGGTTTATTTGGAGATTCTTGAAAGA